TAGGAATTTTCCAGGATGACGCAGTGAGGGGAAAAAAAAAGATAAACTTTAACACCTCCGTATGTCTCCAAGGGAACTGTTCACTTTGTTGAGAAATTTTCGGCAGTCCTTAATAAAAAGAAAAGAAAAAAAATCTTAAGGGTTTGCTTATCACATTTGTGGCATCGTGTGATGAAGGAGTGCACATCAAGGTAGCTCCTGGCTGTTTTAAAGCAACTTAGTTAAAAGTGGTGTAGATGATTTTAAAACTGAGGATTTTAATGCATTTAAATACTAACAGCCAAATATGTTTCTATACCCTCACAGCTCTTTTTCTTTCTGTTGTTATCAAAAAGACTGGAATTTAATCAATCACAAAGTTATATACAATTACTGCTAAAAAAGCTACAGGTTGTTGGTAGAACTTACTGTTTCAAATTCCCGATCATTTATCTCCTTGAAGGAGTTTGCAAAATCTGGATTTACAAACCACTGGTAAACCAGGTCTTCCCTCCATTTTTTTAAAGTCATGCGGCAGAGAGCTTCTGAAATGGCCACCTGTATTTCATAATCTGGAAAAGGCAGAAAACCGGGAAATATCTTCTTCTTTTTAACACAGTATACATGCAGAGAGGAAGTGTAGCCTCCGATAAAACAAAAACTCCAAGCATAAAAGTCGTGCATGTTGTAATATTAGTCTCTGCAATTCAATGGTCTTGTTTTTTACCTTTGATTCAGTTTTCTATTGGCCTCAAATTCTATACAGACGTTGGCATCCACTTCAGTATAATAAAGTAGACTTCCCCCTATCTACAAATTAAAAGATGACGATGACGATTGATCTGCCCTATTCTGTGAATGAAGAAAACCTCATTGACTGGCCTTAACTTCTTTCTGTCTTCTGACAGATGTATTTTGGACTACAGGCACAAGTATCAGTGGAAAGCATTCTCAATAAGAATTCTGCTGAAATTCCAGAATGCAAGACAGATAAGCAAGAGGAGCCTCTTCACAGTTCATGACTGAACTACTTTCATGTAACATACAGCACTTCTCCACATTCAATCTCATCTGGCGGGTGTTTGCCCAGTCTTGACTTTGATCTGAATCATTTTACATTTCCTTTGCTTCTTCTACAATGTTTACAGCTCCTCACATTTTGGAATAATCCGCAATCTTGACTAGTTTACCAACAGTACAGCATGATCCCTGGTGTACAGCACCGAGCCTGAAGCTGGGGTGACATCATTGTTTTCTATTCATTAACCAGTTATCTGTCCAAAGACACACGGTTCCTTGCATGCCTATCACCTGTAATTAGACCATTTTTAAATATGCAATGTCATGTGCTTGTTTATATCCACTGCGGCTGTTACTTGTTACAAGTAACATTAAAAAGTCAGTTCAGCACAACTAACCTGTTCTAGGTCCACATCGACTATCCTCAATTGGATCTTTATTAATATGGGGTGCACATGGTTTTCTGCATTTGTATGTTCAGGCCTGTTCAGCCTTTTTATTCTCACATACAGTATTAGATTGGCTTGAACACAGTGCACCACTCATGGGAAACAGTAAAGTGACTTACTCTGCACCACTATTTTAAGTACACTATGGCACAAAAGGGCTCTGCTTTAGAGAAGCTCTGAAAACAATCGCCTCAAAATTATTCCACCTACCACCGGCGTCCACAATCAGTTTGGCAAGCTCTTCCCTGGGGGAAAAAAAAAAGAGTTAAACTGCTGTGAGAATGAGCCTGATAGCGGTCATTTTCTAGTTCACATGCTAAAGCAAGCAAACTGTTAGAACAAAACATAACGTAACTGTCCTCACTTCCCATACATTGCAACACCATTGAAACAGATATTTAATCTAAATCAATCGTGTTGCCGTGAAAACAGTTTTGGGATTAACTGGTAAAACAAAGTAAAGCTGTAGTAAGCAAGGGGTGTTACAATGGCACCCTGGCCACATTTCCCCAATCATGGCCTCCTAATAATCCCCATTTTTGAACTGGCTTCATCACTCTGTTCTCCTCCCCACTGAGAGCTGGTGTGTGGTGAGTGCACTGGTGCATCATCCAGGTGGAGCTGCACACTGGTGGGGGTGGATCCCCCATGACCTGTACAGCACTTTGAGTGGAGTGTCCAGAAAAGCACTATAGAAGTGTAAGGAATTATTATTGACATATTTCTAACCAATACTAATGTAAACCTTTGCAATCATGTAGATAAATAACACAATTTCTCTTTGGTTGTTATTGCTTTTCCAGTAGGTGGCAGTGAAGGTCTTCATAGAATGCTAAAGAGCTGTGTAACCATTCACTTTGTCAAATCACCTTTCAGATTCCATGTAAAACACAAATCTGTATGGACTGAGTAAGACTCAGTTTAATAAATGTAATAAATTCACTTACATAAATACTCAACATTGCCAAGAAAAGTACCGAGACAGACAAAACCTATGTTAATTATCCACTAGCAAAAAGCATTTTGTCATCCTGTGGATCAGGAAAAGAGCAGAGAGACGAAAAGGGTCAAGCTCAAATCAAACCCTGGAGCTATGAGGCAGCAGAGCTCATTTCCATATCATTATTTTGCCATAAAATTCAGACAGTCAAACAAATGTTCACTATAAGCATATACTTAGCAAATTGCAATACAAAGTAGTATTGTTTCATGCTCGTAAGCGAGCCTGTCACTTGGGATAATATTTGCTGGAATGCTGTGACAGAATCACAGTACATGAGAGATGTGACTTACAGAAGTGAGCAATGTTGTTCAGACAAGCTCATCTTCTTCCGGTCTTCTTTGGTGGCAATGTCAAGAATTGAATTAATTGTCCTTATACCCTAACAAGAGTAAAGGAACAGATGGAATCACCATTTTCGCAGCTGTGCTAAAATGACAGTGTTTTACTGGTCAAAAGAAAGCATACCTCCAATCGAAGACAGAACATAACATCGGGATCGGTCACTAGCATTCCTAACCGCAGAACAAATGTGTCATGCATTTGATTTTTTCCTGAACACCACAAAAAACAGAAGAGTTAAATTCTCATTAATATGCAATAAATCCCCTCAAACTATTAGAGCCCGAGGGAACACAGAAAATAATCGCATCTGCTGCCTGCCGATTTAGATATAGACATCTTGATTTAAACTGAGAATATTTTTGCATGTATTTATGTTCTAACCATTTGCAATAAAACTGAAACGATCGATTTATATTCCATTGCCTTCAATGGCTCTAGCAATTCAATCCCCATAAACTCTTCCTCTACCTTTCAGATTCCCAGATTTCAAAAGGTGAGTGTGTGCATGCTGGGGGAGTCAGGTCATTACCCAGCCAATCAGCAGGCCAGTTCTCAACCTCAATCTCCACCGAGTCAGGTGTAATTCAGAAAGCACAGCCCGCAATCCCCCAACAGTAACAAGCCTTCCTGCACGATAATGGGAGTAATTACTAAGGAAATATTTCTGCGTTGTTTTGTTTTGATCCATTTGAGGTTTGCTTTCTTTTCTTTGTAGAATCTTAGCAAGAATTGCAGGGTTTATGACATGGTCCCAACAGAATTTTGCAGAGCAGGATTTATTTTTTTTGTTTTAGAATATGGCAGGAATACATGGTCCCCTTTGCCTTCAATTAAGCCAAATGATTGATTCGTCTTCAATTAATGAATCATTCTTATATTCCAATGTTACACTTAAATGTATCTTATTTCTACAGGAGTCACTTGTTTGAAAAGTTGTTTTCCCCACTCTGAAAACCAGTTTGTAACATACTAGAACGCTCCCTGCCTGTATTTAACAGGCAAATAAATAGCAAATATGCTTTCGCTAGTCAAATAAAAAATACATATTTTACCTTCCGTGCTTATCTTGCAAATACTCTATAAAAAAGAACAAGACTTCATTAAACACTGGACACACTGAACTTGATCATTTATCATCATAAAGAAATATTTTAATACTGTTCATTTAAAAACATGTCAGCCAGCATCTTCAACCTCTGAAAGCTGGTTCTAAGCAATTTGCGTAGTAAGGACAATTCTCCCCTTATCTACATTAACCTCTTTATTTTATTTTTGTTTCAGGCGCCCAGTAATGTGTTAATTTGGCACTATTCCTCTAAGGTCCTAAGGAGCCAGAGTATCTGCTGATCCTTTACAGCTGAACTCTGAATATTTTTTAATTGGCTCAATTAGGTCTTTGCTTAAAAGAACGTAATACTCTTTTCCCTTCTTTCATTCATTCATTCATTCATTCATTCATTAACCATTGAAGGCTACCTACAAACTTCTGTGCCCAATACAGCACACCATTGTGTCAATTCATTAAACGCTTAGACATGCAAAAGACAATCCGCATCATGGCACTTACCAAAGCCGCGTCATAGCATTCCTCGATAAGATTTGGCAGGAATTTATTGGAACGCATTTCTTCAATCTTCAGAAATTCCAAAGCCCTTTCAAACCACATTAACATGTAAAGCACACAAAAACGTGGTTGAAGGAATACAGTTCTGCACATTCTGAACCACCAGGTGCTCTCTCGCGGTCCACACCTCGCCAAGCTTACTCTTCATCGACGGCCAATTTTCTACCTCCACCACATTCCCAGATCAGAGATATTGGATCTCCGACCGTGCTCATGAGACAGGAGGGGTAGGGGGATCTCTTCTTAATATTTTGTGAGGGGAAACGAAACCACTGTGGATGAATCGCTACACAGCTTTTCTAAAGAAAGCTCAGGAGAGACGCCAGCAGCCAAGGTCTTCATCACCACTGCTGCTCAAACAGTATGTCTTCATGGCATCACTTCCTCAGAAAAGCTATAAAAGCTCTCCGGCTCACATCCCAATTTCGGTCTCCTCCCCCCCTCCTCTTCACCTCCACCTTTGCCGTTAACTCCTCTCCCTGACCAGGGGCCCTAACTTCCTCAGCCTACAGCCAAGTTCCTGAGGCTTAACTCCTGAAAGGATATTCCAAAAAGCCCAAGACTACTGTACTACGTTATTCCTTGCAAGGTGGTTAACATAAGGAGACCAAGCTACTCATCATGTGCCAAACAGGTTATTTTAAAGGCTTGTGGTGGGGAAACGTACCGTACCTCAGTAAAGCATTCTCATCTGAAACCCTGCAAGCAGGGGAGGACTTGCAAGACTTGGCGAGAGAAGCAAAAATCAGACTCTGTTCACTAAGGAAAACACATTCTGTGTCAGCAGGACAGATGTGTTCTATGGAAGGGAAGGTGTTGCCATGTTTGTTATAAGAAACAGAGGCTCTTGTTTAATAGCAGGCTGTGGTGAGTTACTGTGTACTTCATAGCATATTGTCATAATTCAAAGTAAATCAGAAGTATTTCAAACGTGTGGAAAAAAAGAGAGTGATGCCAGAACACTGTCTTATAATGAGCAAATACTTGACAGTTTCAAAAATAAGAATGCTTACAACGTCCAGTGGGATATAATACAATAACAATCAATCCTAAAGACAAATGCAGAATATTTATCTTTACATAGACATACCTGTACACACTGTATGTATACTTTTAAACAGACCACATATGTGACTAAATAAAACAAAATCTAAGCCACAATATGAGTAAATTAATACAATATACAGTATACAGCTAAGCATTGTTACAGAAATTCAGTTGGGTTTGTTTCCAATACATGTCTAATACTGTATGTTCCTGTGACCAACCCAAAACTAAATTATATTACTGAGAAAACACAAACCTTTGTTAAAGAGATAAGGTTAAACTAAATCACTTTAATGGATTAAATGAATACTTCCAAATTTCTGTACAAGTACACTTATCTAGAAACAGTGTAATTTTCAATTTTTAATACAAAAAATGAAGGTGTGGTTTTTAGTCGTTTTTCTTTCTTGAGCTCAGCTTGTATTAAAACTCGAAAGTCACGTCATAGTGGATAACAATTTGTCTTTCCTTTCAGATCTTTAAGTACAGGTAACATCCTAATAACAACAAATGATATGGCCAGAAAAATAATTAATAAAATACTTATCTTTGCAACCAGTCCTTGTTGGACAAAATTGTTGATGACGTCTTCCCCATTGCTCAAACATAAGCTTTCGATGCCTTTTAATAGCAAAGTTACGTGTCCAAATTCGTTTTTGTCCAGTTCCTAGAAAAAAGCACACATGCGTTGTTCAGTAGTAGTAAAATTAAAGTGTATCGTTCTATCGTCATAATCGTCTTAATGAGGTGAAAAAGCCAAATTACGCAAGGTAAATACAATAGCACACATACCTTATTAGCTACTTTGTCCAGTCTGTTAACGGAAGTCTTTGAAGATTTCTCCTCAAGAAGAGCAACTGTAATTTTTTCAACTTGATTACTGGCGAAGGCTTCCTCTAATTCAATTTCCAGCTGAAACAGAGAAATCGAACAGTGCTTGGTCGCAGCTTGCCAATGTAGTACACTTTATACTATTACAAAATGTTAAAAGAAGTAACGGAAATTACAACGTGGTCTTTCCAGTAGTTTATTTACACCACATGAATAATTAAAGCACACAAAAGCTTCCGTGCTTGGGCGTTTCATGAACAACACCGTTAGTAAAACAACATTTTAGTAAACCTAGATGTCTGCATCTCGTCTGACAAACTCAGAACAAACGCTTTCAAGTATACCTCACATTTTCTAAAAAAAAGTGTATGACTAATTTAAATGATTTTATTTTGGAATGACATTTCGAAGAGATCAGGTTTATCTGCTTTACGATGATGAATCTCCTAGCTAGAGTTCTTCACTTCATTTTGCAAATAGGCTATAGGATTAATATTCTGGGTTCGCAGACGGGATCCACGATTTTAATTTATGAGGCGGAAAAACACACATATCGATGAAACACGCACTTCATTTCAATTAATTTTTAACGAAAATGTCGCCGGACTTACGCTCATCATCTTCGGTTGGTCTTGGTTTTACGTCTGTTGTCTTCACGTCCTTCATGTCGTCCTAATTGGATCACGGTTCAGTTCGGACGCAGGTGGCCCAATCAGACAGAAACCTCATTCGAGATATATTTGCCCTTTCTTATGGAGAAACACTGTTTAGAAATGATAGATGTTGTGTGTGTGTGTGTGTGTGTTGGGGGGGGTATAATGAATTCATACTAACTGTATTATTAAATTGATGTGATTTGTTTTTTTAACAAATCCATTTGTCTACATTTAAATACGTTTTTTAATGAATGCTTGATGTTTAACTCTCGCATTTATTGAGCAAAGATACTTGCGCAATTACTCTAAAACAGGGCTCTTCAACGCGGAGGCCTAGTGTCCTGTTCTAACTGAACAGCTCAAAGTTGGTCTAATTATTCAATCAACGACTCAATTGCAACACATCTAACTAGGCTCCAGTGTGTTTTATAGGGATCTGTAAATTTAATGAAGTGAGTTGTTGTGCATAATCAACTTTATATAAAAATACCTTATGAAATATTCTATAAGTCTATACATATAATGATTCGACCCATTAAACAGAAGACGCTTTAAGTCGTTTCCGAAGAGCACTTTTTAAATTCGAGAGCACTTTTTAAATTAATGTGATGTATTTTATATTTCATGCGACTTCGTTTTGGAGCTCAGAGCAGTAAACCGTGTCCTAATAAACACACACGGAGGAGTCCGCCTTATTCAAAGTGTGGAACGGATATAATAAAAATGTTTCATTTGCATGATGTTAAACATTTTATTTGTTTTCTTCTCCGTGGGGTTAACATTTCTGTAGCGCTCTCTTGTGTGTAAGGAAGAGGTCTTGGTGATGATTAGTACCACTCACCGTCCAATTAACCTGAACTGAACAGCCACAGGTGTGCCTGGCATCTGCGAGCAGAAACCTAATAGCTCTGTCGGTAAAACGTGAACAATCGGTGTCAGGGTTGGAGTGATTTGTAACTGGTAAGTTGGTTCCTCTGCAGACCAAATCGCAACCCATATGACTCGAGGCAAACTGTTCAACTCGCAAAACATCGTTTCCCCCGAACTGAACGGAGAGCTGTTTAATTAACGTGGTGTGTCGCCTGATGATCTGTAACAGAAATGTCCCAAGTTTGAGCACAGACTGGTCAAAATAATATATACGATATAAAATCGGTGCAATTCTATCACAGACCCACTCTGAGTTTTGTGCAGACCCTACGATTTCATGTGGGCTCTGACTTTCATTTCCCTCACTTAACCAACGTCCGACGTGAGGGCGGTCTTAACTGCGCGCTGTCCGGGAGCCTGGACTGCTGTTGTCCTTCCCCACAGACTGGCGAGTGTCTTACTGGCTCGCCAAGGAAACTGACAGCATGTTTTAAAAAACGGACTGTTTTATTCGAATTCAAACGTTTGGTGTCCATATCCTTACGTCTAGTCTTTTAATCGTGGTTGTTGTGCTAAATTAGAGGCGAAGCGTTAGGATGATAGGACTGAATAGTCCACCATTCCGCCGTGGTGCACTTACAGGAGATAGCACGGTATACACTCGCACTGCAATTGTTTGAATACGGGGGCGAGCAAGTGACCTGGGATAGACTGTGCGTAATGGGAGGTTCAGCGTTCAAGACCTGAACATTTTGTTGCTCAGGTTCAGAAACAGACGGGTGTCGAAATAGCCCGAAGTCGAGTGTAAGCTAAGCAGACAGCTGTCGCTTGGAGTCGGAGTTAGCGGGTAGGGTACCTGACAAAAATGAGTCACGGGTAAATCCTGTTTGCTTACGTTAGTTCGTATCGATTAATGCTGAAAACATTGACCTCCCAAAATTACCATGCAGTACGTTTGTCCTTTTAATGGACTTCCAGTGGCGCAAGACGTCTTCAATTCATTCACATCGCAGACCAGAACTCTTCTGTCCTGAAGCTGTTAAGAAGCGAGCAGGCAGAAGCGTCTCCGTGACCTTAACACGACAGTACAGTAAATGTACATTTGGGAAAATGCTGCGTGGTTCTTTGAAGCTTGGCGGTGGACGAGAGTTAAGGGGAAGTAGGTTTTTCAACCGCTGCTTCGTCTCTGACTTTCGATATCCATGATTTTTACCATTATTACTGTGTGTCATTGTAACGTAGGCAACAGCTTTTCGTAAAAAGTCTGCTAATATGGTGAAAGACAGGAAAGCACGTTCACAGACCTGCGGGGCTCCTGTCTAGCATTTCAAGCGGTTCTGGGTACAACAGCGCTGTTCCTTATCGCCTCTTTATAAAATATAGAAACGACTCGGAACATAAAAACAAGCGTGCTAACACATATTCAATAGGCTGTCATTAGTGGGCTAATGAATAATGATAATGATGATAAATGTTTGTCCCGCGGGAAGAGGGTCTTCTCTGTACTAATGCGCGCTTTGCAGTGTAATGTCGTTTAACACTCCTATCCCACAACCTCTTCACGGGTCTTCAGATGCTGAAATAGCTCCCGATCTAACAGGTTGGAAAGTTGGAATATACAGAATTAGAGGAAAGTGCATTGAATGAGTACATGACAATCGGAAATGAAAAAGGGAATGATCATTCAGTAATGTATTATCAGTAAACTCGCCTGCCGCAATCGTGTCAGGCTAATAAAATCAATGACACTTCCTGGAATTACGTACTGTACATGCAGTGCACAGGCTATCCACTATTCTACCCTTTTAGAAAATAGGTGTGGGAAAAAAAGAAAGATTTTGTCTGTGACAGAAAATCGCCGGTATTCGAGAATTAATCGTGAACCCCCGGGCCATGTGATATATTGTAAGGTCTTCAGGTTTTCTTGTGCGCGGCGAACAATTGTGTGTGTGTGTGTGTTTGTGAACCAGTTTTTGCTCGAACAAACCCTGCCCTATAGCTTCCAAAAGTCACGGTCATTTGAGTTGGTGAGAGAAACTGAAAGGTCATTATGAACAACAGTATTTCTCACCGTTTCTCCACACGTTTCCTGTGGATGACGTACATACGAAAAGAGAAACAATTCTTCATAGAATTGTGGATATTTATTAACCATATGGTCAGAAATGATGGCCATCTGAATGAATATGCCTTCAAGTATCTTTATATTAAACACTATAGGTTGTAAACTGTTTTCGAAAGTACGACACAACTGGTATCGTACAGTAAAGGAGCGAGAAAGCTCAAATAGGGTCACTATGTCTAATGTTCATTATTTTAGTTGGTCTGATGATTTCACATTAGGTCGAAACAAGTTTTGTGAGTCTCAAAAAATAAATATTGGCCAAATAATACATACAATAATTTAATTTTCCAGGTCACATTGTAAAGTTAAATGCATTTATTTTTCATGTATTTTTGTTTTGTGTATATACTGTACACAGTACGTAGGCTGTATAATTATGGGGTCTACACTTTTAGAGTTAACGTAGAAGAGGTTCAGTGAATGTTCAGTGTAGATTAGGGGAAGAATAAAATTTAGAATTCAAGTGAATGACTATTGAGATTAATACCAAGGATGGTCTATTACAATTTGATTTCTCATGCGTTGACCGTGGAATGTATCAATTTAAAACAATACAATTTAAAGACGCAGTAATGTTATACAACACGTTTTAATTAATGATTTTAGTGATGATTTGGAACCAGATTTCAATGTAATGCCCAAATATTAAACTGAACAATAATTACTAAGGAACATGTAAGAAAAATTATGAAAACAGTGCTCATAAAAGTGCAGTAAATCACACTGATGATTAAATCCCATAATGTATTGCAGTTAATTTAAATATTATAATTCGTTGTAATATCACATAGCTCTAATATTTTTGTCAAGAATAATGCACATATTGACATATGTGACATATTGCAGTATATTGCACAATGTCGGCTTTTTCCCTTTGTGACAGCTGTCTCACTCGGCTAAGGCTACATATTACAGTATATAGTGTTACATAAGATATAACACAAAGAGCAGCTCAAAAAGTGCGTTTACCAGACCTACATTTCATCTAAGTGACTACAACAGGTTCATTTTTTCGTTATTTCTACAGGCCACTGTATCAACTTACCTCCTAAATAGAACATAAAATAATATATTGTAATGTGATTATTGACATGTAACCACTGTAAAGGGACTTACAGAAATAAAAAAAAACTATTTCACAAGAACTTCACACCTGCATCCATATTTTCTTTTGGATCATAATAGCTGGTGATACTAAACTTAATTCCAGAAATAAAAAAGCTCGTGGTATTTTGAAAAATCCCGCTCTGATTTATAGTTCATTAAATCAACGTCATAAACATGATCGCTTCC